CTTTTTGTTGTGCTCATATTTAGACGTCCTATTTTGCAAATGCTGCCTTCCTGAAATTTGGTATGCTTGTTTGTCTTTGTGTCWATGGTGTATAATGATGTGATTGTGATGCTGTATTTCTGAGTGTTTTATGTGCTGCAGAACAGGAACCTGCTGTAAAACAGCAATTATGCTGAGTCAGGCTTGATTTATAGTAATCTTTTCCTGTTAAATCAATGAATCAAATCAAATCAACTTCTTGTACAAAACTCTGCCGCTAGACTCCTAACTAGAACATCCAAATTCTCTCACATCTCCCCAATATTATCAGACCTCCACTGGCTACCTGTACAATTCAGATTCAAGTTCAAAATCCTGGTTCTCACTTTTAGATCTCTACATGGCCAAGCGCCGAATTACATCTCCGGTCTTTTATCGCCTTATAACCCCAGACGCAACTTGCGCTCACAAGACCAGAATCTTCTCTTGGTCCTCCGWACTCACTTCAAGACCTGTGGTGACTGTGCCTTTTCCTCAATGGCTCCCAGACAGTGGAATGCCCTTCCGCCTTATCTAAGATCTCTTGATAACATTGACTCCTTTAAAAAACAACTAAAACACACCTCTTCACTCAAGCATTCAACTGAATATATTCAACACCTCATAACTTGAGTTCATAAGCCCTGAYTAACAATCATGTGTGTTATTCCGGTCTAGTATCCATCCCCTCCATCCATAAGGGTGAGAGATAAATTGAACTCCTTTTTTGTTTGTTGTTTGTACAGTTACTGTGATATATTTGCTTTTTCTTTCTGATAATGGATGTACAGCACCTTGTGAAATCCTTTTCTGTGAAAGGCGCTATATCAATAAGCTTTTACTTACTTTACTTACTTGCTTACTTACTATCAGAAAAGAACAAGTGCAACTGATTCTCTGGGTGTGCCTTTTTCAGACCTAGCACAGTAATATTCCAAACTTTTTTAAAACTGTAAACATGCTGTTATTGAGGCGTAAGGTCTCCAGGTAACGCTTTAACTTCTTTGGTTTCATGCTATCTATTGTCAGAATTTATAGGCAGAAAACACAAACGGGTCTTTCTTCATTTTTTTCACTTATTTACAGGAAAACCCCATGGGCTAGGGAGTTTTTTTTTTTTTGTATTTTTTTTGTCAGCTATAATTAATTGCTTCACTTGCCTCCGGCTCCTCTGCTGTTTTTCTTTTCGCCATCACAAACTTCCCCGTACCTCCCCCTCTGTCAGCTCTACACGGTGTGTCTGTGTAGATTACTACTAGTTTGAGCCCCGCTGCCACTTAGTGAATGGATGTTTGTTTATCGTTCAAACATGAATAAAGACGCTAATATTAAAACATCCACCTAACTCGTGTATTTGAGAAGTACTGTTTTCATTGATGAGGTGACATCTTGTTCATTTCATTTCAAATCCATTGTGGTTGTGTTAACAACAAAACAAATTAAAACTGTGTTGATGCCCCAATTTGTATGGACCTGATTTTTTAGGAGGTTGTTTCTGACTAACCTATCAGGAAAATATACATTTTGTGAGTATACTTCCTTCAGACTGGCCTTGGACACATTAGCTTAAATGTGTAACAGATGTGTCCTTCTCTGAGCACCTTTAATTGTGCGGTATCCTGCTCTGTCCGCTTACGATCAAATCAATTGGAACACACACCAGGTTTGAACAGCTCCATGGATTCAAACTTGTAGAAACAAGCAAGCAGATAAGTATCAATAAACCTAAACATTATCTTTGTATCGAGGAAGTTGAGCAAAGGGAAKGCAGCTTAAGCAGGAAGTATAAATCATTTTTACAATAGTATTTGCACCAACTGCCATAAAACGTGTGAGACTGAAGCTGTTTAACGTGGTAGAAATAGGTTTATAAKTGATCAGTCATTAAAGATCAACTTYAATGAGAGAGYAATTWAATCAACRTCACCCTGARGTTTGAAGCATTTAAGGCACCTGACATTTAAACTACCTCAATACCACTTTGGCTGCTCAGTAGAAAGAAATGCATAACTTTTCAAAACCGCCCAACCATAAAATTGCCTTTAAAAACAAAACAAAGACCAATATTTGTAGTAGCTGGTGTTAGTTGTAAAATGTGAATCGTGAGAAAAGATTCATTTGGAGTTTGCAGTGTTTGCTTTAGGCTTAAACGTTCTGAAATAKTTGGACAAGATACGTATATTTTTAAAGGACATTTCTATTGTGTGGAAAGTAGTCATGGGTGTGAGTGTCTGTCAGTGTKGGGGGGAATGGGGCAGTCTGCCAGTTCATTTTTGTTCCATCCATGCGGACAGACCGAAACTAACATATGTGAATGTTTTAGCTGCAACCTTTTAAAACTAAATTCCCTKCCGTGTTAAATCATTTCTAAAATCTTCCTTCCATCTTCCTGTTTCATTCTTTTATGATAAGCAGTTTGAAGGCTCATTTAGAGCCTGTAGATTATTTAACACAAGATCTGATCTCAGCAATGTGATGATGTCATTGAACTCCATTAACTGTTTCTAACTGTTCAACTCTGGTTGTGTTATTTGACAGATTCTCCTGCTGTCACCTTCCTAAAATAACTACCAGTCGGTTTTTGGCAAAATCGACCTTTTTGCATAAATCATCCCCTTATGATGTTGACCACCGGTGGTAAAAACATCATCTCAGATGATCAAATCATTTGATTCTTTCCCTTAAAGTGCCTGTGACATCAATTTTTTTAGCGAAACATGAATGCCTTTTAGGAAAGATAACATTAATAATATATTGCAAAACAAATTTCACGCTGCTGAGATGAACASTTGTTGAGATGGTTGCATGTGAAGTAACAGGAAGTGATGTCACAGGGGAATGTCTGCATGTAAACAGAGCATTGCTACAACAGCTAACAACACAGACTGTAGAGAAGAATCTGATGTTTCTTTACATTATTTTGTGTCACTGTCAAAGAGAGATGAAGAAGAGTTAATGTTTAAATGATTTTTGTTTTAATAAACAAAGACCAAAGATTTTATTTTTTTAATGAGTTCCCCCTTGATGTCACTTCCTGTTTTACTTTGGCTGAGCCAAATTCAAAAGAAAAAAGGCCAGTTATGTGACAAAATGGGTAAAATTGTGTGTATTAGGGCAATTTTCTTAAGTATAAAGATGGTTTCTTTGACTTTTTGTATCTGACATACAGTATATGCATGTCACAGGCACTTTAAGATAATGGCCTGTGTATTTACTGTGACCGAAGCTGAGCAAAGTTTTTTGTTTTTCCTGAAAAACTTGAAAAAAAATACTTAGGCAATTATTTTAGAAAGGCGTCACTATAATGAATTGACGCTTTTACTTTTTCTTTTTTAATTAATTTTTGTGTGTAGTGATTTGGAGCTTGTCTAATGTAATACAGTTAYGTTAAAAAAGCATACCTGCATGAAAAAGACAACTTCATTCTCAGTTTTGTTGCTCAGTGATGCATGGTGAAAGCCTTGGCATGATGCAGGAAGGGTGYGATAGAAAGCAATAAACCATAACAGATCACAAAACAGACTCAACAGTGATTTAAAAAAATTGTTTAGATTGGCTTTATGTGAACACTGGTGGTGATTTCACCTGTGTGTGAGCGCGTGTGAATTTTCAGGTTCTCCAGCCGTGAAAAGCTCTTGTTGCAGGTGGGACAGTGGTGCGGCTTCTCGTTTGTGTGCGTTCGGATGTGAATCAGCATTTTGTACCTATAAAAAAAAAGAAAGACCAAAGAAGCATTCACAAAGAGGCGTTATGCATAAAGCACAGTGGTGTTTCAAACCACCTTTAATCTCTTGCTTCTGAGAGTTTTAAACTTTCTGACAGTCTTTAATAGTTTTTCCTTTGGATTTTGGCTTCTTTTGTTCTCACTTTTAGTTCAGTTCCTCCGGTTTCCAACCTATTTTCCTCAAAATCACCCTTTCTTTCAGCCAAGCTGACCCCACCCTATCCCACACTATTTGCCAGTGCATTCAACCCTTATTCCTTCATCAAAAGATAATAATAATAAATAAAAACTTTTAATTTGAAAAGTAAAAAAAAGAAGAACTGAATTATACGGAGTTTTAATTATTCAAATGGACTTGTTTTGGTGATTTGTACATACAAAATAAGTTTAAAATTTCACAACCTCCAAGAAGACACAGATGACAGTTCTGAGAAAATACAGAAGACACAGCTCTGAGAAAACACAAATAATATAACTAAACCCAAGAATCACAAAACCTAACCTTAAGACACAAAAGACTTAAAAGAAGTAACAAAAACCACAGATGCTGACACCAACTTGCTTTGTGGCTGCTGCCTCTGCCCTCTCATTAATCACTCATAGACTAATAAAAGGTTTTGTTTTTTTTTCCCAGATTGAACTGTTTTGTGTCTGATTCATATGTTCAAGTTAAGTAGCTTAAAAAAATGAAACATTAATTTGAAAATTGTCAGGCAGGAAAGCAAAATCCGAAGATCATTTTTAAAAGACCTYGAGAAACCTGGAATGTAGGTCAGGGACAAATATTTTAAAAAGTCTATGAATTATTATTTTTTAGTCAAGTGCAATGAATAGAGTTTAAAAAAATCTAAGAGATTGACAACAAGATTGTCCAGATTACTAATGATATAAGGAGGTTAAGGCAATTTTTAGTCCTGAAAATTTGTTCWTTTTTTTTCTTTTGKTTTAACATTGAAAACCTCCAAAATTTGTGATCAATCTGCAACAAACAACTAACAAATWTAACTTCTTTAGATGAAATATTCAGGACAGGAAAAAAATGGCATGCTGTAAACATCTGCTATACCTATATTCATTATTAATTCATTTACTAAGTATTTAATAACTACAACTGTATGATCTAGAATCATTGAGCAAGTCAAATATGCACTTTTAKTAAAACTAGATAGAAAAAAGATAACTGGGGATCAAAGAGAAAGCGAGGTTGTTTTTTTTGCATCATCGCACTGTCATGTTGGGCTCTTGAAAAAACATGTTCAGATTGTCATAAAAATCAGTCAGTATTTAGATCAAATTTACATTTTAGAGCTGTTATTTACATTAGATTGAGAACTATGAGCCCAAACATGCTTTTTAAACTTGTGGAACTAGAGCAACATTTTCGTAATRTAATGCAACTGCAAGAAGAAATGTCAGAATTTGCACACTGTGTCATAGTAGAATGCTGCAGGCATGACGCAGAGATTTTCACGCATCTATGGAACGTCTCAGTCTTTGAACTGCTGGATTTATGAGCATGTTTGATCTGTCCTCGGGCTGACCAGCCTATTGATGGCTTGTRGACGGTTTTGTTCTGTCAGGTCTGACAGAATAAACACAACAGTCTCTCTTCACAAGTTTAACTACCAGTTATTTTGATTAGCATCTCTTTGTTCCCTTCATGCTCACCAGTTGGTCTTCCCAGCTCTCATTTAGAATCAGAATCAGTTTTATTGCCATTGTCAATGAACAGGATTCACAGACTAGGAATTTGCTTTGGTGTAAAGGTGCAATATATAATATAACAAATAAAGAAAATACAAAGGATAAAGGGAAAATATAAAAAATATATCAAACATATGTTCACCAGTTCAATAAAGTAATCACAGCAGACAGTTTAGTTGGAGTAGTGCAGTTAAATTCAGTGATAAAAGTGACCAGAAAAACAATAGTCAGAGTTGTGCGGTTTAAAAAAACGGTGATAAAGTGGCCAAGGTCATTTTATCCACTTTTATTATTATTAATTTTATTTTCTCAAGTTTTTGTTTACAGTGAGTAAAATAAGTATTGAACACGTCACCATTTTTCTCAGTAAATTTATTACTAGAGGTGCTAATGACATGAAATTTTCACCAGATGTTGGTMACAAGCCATGTGATCCATACATACAAAGAAATATAACCATAAATGTCCAGAAATGAAGTTATTTGTAATAATGTGGAATGGCACAGGGAAAAAGTATTGAACATATGAAGAAAGGGAGGTGTAAAAAGGCATGGAAAGCCAAGACACCAGCTGAACTCTCTCAGTAATTAGAAAGCAAGCCTGCCCCTTGTCAGTGCAARTTAATATCAGCTGGTTCAGTCCCAAATGATGGCCAGGTATCACACAAGAACCATCTGATGATGGGTAAAATTAAAGAGCTCTCTCAAGACCTTCACAACCTTATTGTTGCAAAGCATAATGATGGCATCAGTTACTGAAGAATGTCTAAACTTCTGAAGGTTCCAGTGAGCACTGTTGGGGCCATAATTCAGAAGTGGAAAGAACATTATTTCACCATAAACCGACCACGACCAGGTGCTCCTCACAAGATTTCTGACAGAGGAGTGAAAAGAATTATCAGAAGAGTTGTCCAAGAGCCAAGGACCACTTGTGGAGAGCTTCAGAAAGACCTGGAATTAGCAGGTACGATTGTTTCAAAGAAAACAATAAGTAATGCACTGAACCACCATGRCCTGTATGCACGCTCACCACGCAAGACTCCACTGCTGAAGAAACAGCATGTTGAAGCTCCTTTAAAGTTTGCTGCACAACATTTAAACAAGCCTGTGTAATACTGGGAGAATATAGTCTGGTCAGATGAGACCAACATTGAACTGTTTGGATGCCAGAATACACATCATGTTTGGAGGTCAAATGGCACTGCACATCAGCCCAAAAACACCATACCAACAGTGAAGTTTGGAGGTGGGAACATCATGGTGTGGGGCTGTTTTTCAGCATATGGTACTGGCAAACTTCAAATAATTGAAGGAAGGATGAGTGGAAAAATGTACAGAGACATTCTTGATAAAAATCTGCTTCCATCTACCAGGATGATGAAGATGAAACGTGGCTGGACATTTCAGCAAGACAATGAGCCCAAACACAAAGTCAAGGAAACTCTCAGTTGGTTTCAGAGAAAGAAACTAAAGCTGCTGGAATGGCCCAGCCAATCACCTGACCTGAATCCAACAGAAAATCTATGGAAAGAACTAAAGATCAGAGTTCATAGAAGAGGTCCACGAAACCTTCAAGATTTGAAGACTGTTTGTGGAAGAATGGACCAAAATCACACCTGAGCAATGCATGCCACTAGTTTCTCCATACAGGAGGCGTCTTGAAGCTGTCATTGACAACAAAGGCTTTTGTATAAAGTATTAGATAAATTTCAGTAAGTGTGTTCAATACTTTTTCCCTGTGCCATTCCACATTATTACAAATAACTTCATTTCTGGACATTTATGGTTTGATTTCTTTAWATGTATGGATCACTTGGGTTGTTACCAACATCTGGTGAAAATTTCATGTCATTAGCACCTCTAGTAATATATTTACTGAGAAAAATGGTGACGTGTTCAATACTTATTTTACCCRCTGTATATATGTTTAGTCTGTCTTCATCAGCTTCTATGGTTTTGAAAAAAAGTTTTTCTATGTGTATTACACTAGTCCTGCATTTGGCTCCTTTCTTATCATAAATTTTGCCTTGCGGCATAGATCAATGTCACGTTTAAAGATAAGCAAAGAAAAGTTCAGATATTTGAAAGCAAAACAAAGAAAAAAGGTTGATTCAAAACTTTTGCAAAGTTCCAATGATGCTGATGTTTAAATGTGTAATCATACACAATGAACTTAAGGACTTCAGCAAGCATTATCARACTAAGTAAGACCCATGAGGACATATTGTTTACTTTGTAGGTGAGGTGTTTTACGCACTAATAGTATTTGATGTCCTTTTTTACACTYGAGGTGTAGCAGACAATGGAAAGGGGAAATAAATGCTTTCTGTGGCCGTTTTGTGACCCTGCAAAAGGGGATATTTATTAAAATTTTTGTTAAAGAAAAAAAATTTAAACATTTTTATTGCTCGACCTATTTGATTAACCTAACACCTGCCTCTAACAGAACATTCAAATAATAGTTTTATCTTTCACAGCTGTGTGTGTACATATGTGTCCACGTGTGTGTTTGAACTCGGTTACCTGGCGTTGAAGCCTCTCCCGTTCCGGGCGCAGCCCTCCCACTGGCAGCAGTACCCAGAGTCTTTTTCTGGTTTAACGTGGAAGTCGTTGATGTGGTCGACCAGATCCTGCAGTGAGTCAAACTGCARGTGACACTTGAGAAGAGGGAAAAAAAAACACAAATATAGGAGTTTTGAATCCAAAGTGCATGTATTTTTTTTCTGTTTAATTTTTACAAGTTTGTCTTATCAAAACAGGCCTCTCTTGTAAATGTGATTTTTGATCACAATGAGACTACCTGTATAAATAAAGGTAAAAGAAAAAAGTTTTTATCCTTGATCCCACTGATGTTGGCCATAATTAAAATCGAAGCATAATAATTACGTAGAAAACCTAAAACCATTTAGAATAAAAAAAAATTCTGTTGCTTGGGGACTTTCTTGGGGAGACTTTCAACTATTACAAGTTTTAGCTTGGTATCCATAAAACTGACTGACTTGTAACTATTTTGGGGTTTGCCAGGGCAGAGTATTTGAGGCAGCCTTCTTGAACGGCTATCCAGCACATTCAAAAATATCTATAATCAAAATCCATCCTATGGTTCAGGGCATATTTTGCTCACAAACAGACTAAGGCGTTGACTTCAACAGTTAATGACAATGTTTTGCAATGTTTACAAGTTGCAGCTGACTCTCAGCTACCACCACATTGGAATTTAGCTCAATACTTGGTAAAATGACTGACTGAGAGAAATCAAATGTTCTGAAAAACAAAACAGTTTGTTTTTCACAATAAAACAAGACATACAGGACTGAACATTTAAATTTAATTTCCTCCATTCAAGAGGAACTTCCGGGCACACATTTATCAAGCTTCCTAGAGTAGACTTTTAGATGTTAACGCTGAGATTTTTTTTACTCTCAGACTTAAGTGTAAATGCAAGTTATTAAAATTCTTCAGACTAAGAATCACTCTTCTCCCAAATATTTAAGACAGCTCCAGAAGTCTCTTGACTGGTTAAGAAATGCCACTAGGGGTCTGAGATGGACTAAAACAGAAATCACAGCTGTACCACCTCTGAAACTGCACTAAGTGGTCCGGGGGTCCCCTGCCTGAGTTTGGTTCTCAGCTATAATGTACAGAGTGACTACGGTAAAATAAGGTGTAGGAAATTATTTAATTATGTAATACAAAAGTGTTAAAATTTCAGTGTTAAACTTTTGGGTGTTGATTTAACACTCCCTAGTGTTATTTTAACACTTTCTGAGTACACTCACACCCAGTGTTGGTGTAAATTCACAGTGTTGATTTCCTCAGTGTTGTCTCAACACTGGACAGTGTTAAATAAGCTCCACCCACAGTCAAGTCTTATGTAACACTTAAAGAGTAACTTACCCCAAAATTAACTTTTTTTAGCTGATAAACTGTTTAGAATGTGTCTAAAATGTTATATAG